CAAGTAAATATAACAAGTATAAATGTTCCATTCTGTGCAATTAAAGACTGTTTTATTTTGGATCAATGCTGTGTTGGGGTACTCACCTTGCTTTTCCCTCCTGCCCAGATGATAGTTCTGTCGTTCATTGTAAAGGTCTGTCCCTCAGGTGCTGATGCATCATAGTGGCCGACTGTCACAAACTGAGCTTTTCCTTCTTCATTCACCTGCCAGTTTACCAACTCATAGGTGGCTGCTGGGTCTCCATTTGCATCAAAGTAAACTCTGTCCCCATTGTTGGTTGTAAAATTCACAGTTTTAAGCTGCTGCAGTACCTGCAGTAATGAAATCAACTATGTGGTTACGTGACTAAATGATGGCTTGAATTAAAGGTTGTTTTCAAGGCTGAAAAATTTTGGTTCGCATGGTTTGGCACATATTCATAAACATGTCCCCATTCCTCATTGTGAAATTCACGGTTTTAAGCTGCTGCAGTACCTGCAGTAATGAAGTCAAGTGGTGTGTTAAATGGGGGTGTTTTTATTAATCACTTACTGTAATCAGACTTTGCACAGGATCATTACTACTGTATCTACACTAGACATCTGAACAATGGCTAAAAGTTATTAAGAGAAAATAATTTTAAACATATTTGTTCACAAGGTTTTTGTCTATGTTAAGAAACATTTATGAATCAGTATCTTACCTGCTACGTCCTTCACTGTGCTATATCAAGAAGAAAAAAGTTTGAAAATGATTCTTACTTGCCATGGCTCAATTTGTCTGTCCTTTTCACAGTGGGAAAAAGAGCCTTTGGAATTTGTGCACACAAGGTTGTGAATAGATTGGGCCACAGAATAGACAGCTCTATACACTTTATTAGTCACCCTCAGCTGAGACGTATCTGTGTAGGCGTTTTGCAGTTCTCGTAAGTTCTCTGACCCTGTGCACACTTTCTTGCTTGAAGAGGTGTTGTTAGCTGAAAAGATACAGCTGAAAGCACTCTCCCAAAACTCTGTCAGCAGGGGGCTGCTGGTGACCTCACCTGGACTGATCTTCACCAGGAACTCTTTCAACCCTGGAATAACAGATTTTGGGATGCCAAATCCTATCGATCCACTCAACAGGCTGTACTGGAGAAACCCTGGATCTATGATCCAGGATTCACTACCTATCCATTGAAAGACAGGAATATCCTGAGTGGATAATTCTCTAAGCAGAACAACCATGTCACCAGTTGCTATGAATGCTACAATAACCTTTGCAGTGGATTTCTTTATGACATCCACAACTTTCAGAATTTTCTCCCTGGGATTTGTTCTGTAAAAGGCCTCCGAATATTCGATGCAAATGCCTTCTGCTTGGGCTGCCTGTAAGAACGCTGCCATCCCGAAGTTTCCGTAATCGTTATCACTTCTTACTGCGCCAATCCAAGTCCATCCGAAGTGTTTGACAAGCTGTGCCAGGGCTGTTGCCTGAATATTATCGCTGGGGATCGTTCTGAAAAACGTTGGGAACTCGTGTTTGTTACTTAGACAACCACATGTGGCGTAGTGACTAACCTTCAGTTTAAAAGAAAGAAAATGTAGTTAGTACACAAACACACAAGACACTAATAAACAGTCTTCAATATATTAAAATATGAAATGTGAAAATATTTCACAATCATTCGCTTATGAGAATGAACTAGACAACTACATAATGTGAAAATTTGTCACAAGATGTGCAGAAATACTGTCAATTCGTAGATTAATACAGTGACCTGAAGTGGATTCATGCAAGTCTGTATTGCCGGGAGTAGAAATTCAGCATCATTGGCTACAGTGTTTAAGGAG